AGACATGAGAAATTGAGTCTGCCAATGTCAAAGTATTATCAGAAAACAATAAGTTCGCCAACTATACATAATCCCCAGCTATTTCTATAGATTAAGGGATTATTAAAAATGATTCATGAAAAACTACTATGATTTGAGGAATGCAAGAAACCTCCTGAAGATTTCTAGATTGTTCGCTAAATTTTACCACTAGCTGTAAAGAGTTGTGTTTTAGATAGCGCATCATAGCATTATTGGTGGCCAAAACTAAGCAATAGACCTATGTGCTCATGCTTAGGAGGTAGGATGCCTGATGCCATAACGTAAAACATATATGACTTATATGCATTCATGAAGAATTGGATATGAAATGCGCACTGCCATGCTACTTTCCTTATAATTTTCATATGATAGAATATGATACTTTGGATTTTAAAAAATAAGTTCATAGTGTGTAAGCAATCTGTAGAAAAACTACATTGAGGCACTGAGCTCTGATGCTTGTTGCTATTATTTATAGGTTCTGTCCCAGACATTACAAAAATCATACAGGATGTTTATGGCATGGTTTTCAAGGTGTGTGTATGTGTGTGTGAGGTAAAGGAGTGGCTGCTGGAAAGTTGAGGCGTGGTAGGGAATCAACTAGACCCTTGGAGGTAGCGGCCTGAGATGCGAATTAGCATGATGTATTTAGATGGGCTGTGTTGAATAAACAGTGGGAGTGGGTCGCCTCGCCTTACCGCCCCAACCATGGTTCATGTCTATTAAACTGGAGTTGTGGTTCCAAAAAGACAGGCTAGATAGTATTATCCAAGCGGATGTTTACTATGTTTTTGCTTTTCCTACGCCTATCTTGATAAGAACATGAATATCATGTACAAGCATTTTAGATTTAGGAAAGAAGGCTCACCAGTACATTCACTATAATCTACAGGGGAGCATCTGGACAACTTCGATTCAACTTCGGACAAAGGTGAATCCGTGAATTCAGCAAAAAAAGAGTGTTTGCTCAGCATCACCTATGCTTGCCAAAATGTTTACATGATAGTGCTTTGGGCCACAGCAAGGTGTGAATTCCATCACTCCACAGATAATGCCAGGCTGAAAATCCGGTTCCTGCAAGATGTACAAGGGTAGAGTTTATTTCAACAGCCTCACAGAAGCATGTCTCCGAAGTCATAGAATCAGATGGACGCTACACGAGCATCGACTTTTCAACATGGATTGTAAGTTCATGGTCAGTCAGTGCTCAAACAGGGAATGTAAGAGCAATCACAACTAAAACCAAAGTATGCAGTGTAAGTGTGTAACAGCATGGAATAAAGAGGAGCATCATACTTAGCTTTGGCCTGGAGATGAAAAATGAGTTGCTAGTGGAATGAAGTGGTCTAGTGTACATACCAACAGAGCAGCACAGTGACACATCACAAAAAACTAAGCCTAAGAGAGGCTACCCTATATATATGTATGCTACCCTGTATGTATGCTAAACCTCATAGCACTAACGTGCAACCAATAACCAGTGAAACATATTCAGTTAGTCAGTAGTACACTACAAACGAGCAACCATTAACCAGTAAGAATTAATCACCACTAAGCACTAACCAAAGACAGGCAATGGGCACAAGAAAATTGGATAGAACATGTGGAAAGGCAGAGCATGCACAAAACTACATAGAAGAGATTTCTGGATAGAGTAGGAAGATCATTGCCCAAGGATGCTGGTAGCGGTATTTGTATAGCAATTCATCCAGCTTGGCACGAACAAAGATCAGCCTGTCCTTGGAGGCCGTCTGATTTCTTGACACCGCGATCGAGGCACGCATGGACAAGTAGGGCTTTTCTGCTGGCACTTCATCAGAGGATAATGTGAGACTTGTTCCGAGCTGCCTGCATGCCTCTAGCCAACAAGCATAAGAAATCCTGCCACCATCTCGCCGCTCTCCCAGCAGGAAAAGCAGATGCCTCGCACACTCAAAGCGCCCAAAGAATGATATCCAAACGCAGCATACTAGGGGTGCTTGGCAGCCTTGGCCGCATGAAGAAAGGTATCCTCATGAATGATGATGCGATCGGAGCAGCTAGTGATGTTGCATTCGCAAGAGTTAAGGAGCTCCAAGGCTTGATGGTCCGAGAGCATGGCGGAACGTGCAATGGTAACAAGGCCATTAAGGGAGCGGGACTCCAGACGAGCCATGATTCTAGTGTTAAGGATGCCCTCTGGTAACTGGTCTTCTTCACCAGAATTTGGGAACGGGAAGGCGACACTGTACCACAAGGTGTTGAGAATGATGTTGGTCACAGGGTCAAAGTGTCCGTAACAATGTCCAGCCATAAGAAGAGAGCGAAGGAAGTGGCCGTTTGAAATTCCCTGGGGCATTATGGCAAGTGCCTTGATGTAAAAGGCATGGATGGTGTCACCCAGACACAGCTTCAAGGACATTGTGACCTGTTTGCTTATGCTAAAATTTAACTTATGCTGACGCTTATGCTAAAATGTTGTGAGAGAAAAACACTGGTAGCTCAAGCGAACGGGCACACGCACGCGCACCCGATCCAGGCACTTGGCTAGCTTCTCTCTGTCTAAACCTCGTTGCTCCAGGTCGGAGATGTGGAGGAAACCTCCGTGAGAGTGGCCATGATCATCTTCGTCACGGACGACGATGGAGATTTGGGCGTAGCTGCGGCGTTCCCCAATAAAGGTGTGAAGTCTCAATGCGCCACCTGTGAAACTGGCACATCCGCCACCGTCTTGACTGGGACGGCACCAGAACTCCACGTTGACCGGTGGGCAGGACGGCGGCCATTGCAGGGTCAAAAGTGTCCTGATTTCCGAGACGACGTCGGAGGTGCTGAGCACTTCCGTTGTTCCCCGTAGGAGGGGTACCCCGCCCACAACGCGAAGTGGGCCCTGTTTACTTCCCTCCCAAAATGCTAAATTTTTTAAGATTTTTCGTCACATCGAATCTTTAGACGCATACATGAAGCATTAAATATAAATAAAAAATAAAACTAATTACACAATTTAGACGAAATCTACGAGACGAATCTTTTAAGCCTAATTAGACTATAATTGGACACTAATTATTAAATAACAACGAAAACGCTATAGTATCATTTTGCCAAAAATTTCGACAACCAAACTGGCCCGAGGTGCCTCGGGGCTCATGTGTCCCCCCTGAACGAACGGCTCGGACGAAAGAACGGAAAGTAAAAGAGATGGGATTACTAACGTTCACGGACAGGAGGCATGTCCATAATGAAGAAAACGATACCGTAACAAGTCAGGTGCAGGTGCATTTATAACGACCTATTACAAACGGAGTCGTCGGCTGGAAGGAAGGTTGAAAGAGGCTAGCTTGCAGTGTAAGGAGCATTTCAGATTCAAAAACAAGAGAGGAGTTGGCTTCGATGAAATTATAGGATTTGCTATGGAGGTAGGAAATACAGCAGTGCAACATCATCCATCGATGGAACCAGATAGCTTGGTTCCGAGAGAAGGGTTGCGGGAGATTGAAAGGGTCGAGGGAGGCAATGTGGCGAGTTCAGTTCATGAGGGGAGGCAGGCAATCACTGGAGCCCTGGAGACTGCATCTAATTCGACTGGATGCGGATCGTATGACAGCGATCTACAAAATCCAACGCTACTAGGATCTAGTGTTATGACATCCCTTTCGTTCAAGAAAAGGTAAGACTGCTGTGTTTTGAATCCGCCATTGCCCATGATCGCCAGAGTTAAAGGATTCGCGATCGATTTGTGTCGAAAAATGTTTTGCAGGAAAAGGGGGAAAGAAGGTCCGGACGCGTGCTTGGCGCCAACAGCTAACAGCTCGATTACACAAGCAATATCAACGGCTAAGGACAGGGAGGGTGAGCCTATATTCTACCCATACGAAGGAACAACATTTAGCTCATATGAAGAGGCAAAGGAGTTCTACAACCTATATTCTTGGGAGGTCGGATTCGGAATCAGGGAATCACGAGCAAAGACAAACAGCAATAATTACACGACGAGAAAGGATATAGTGTGCTCGTGTGAGGTATGAAATCATATACGAATGAGATTTTAATTTGAACTAGTGCAATGTTCAATGTGTTAGTAATTATGTTGTTGTCTACAGGGATTCTGCAAGAACCCAAGAGCACCTTCGGCAAGATCAGGCTGCAAAGCAATGCTGCGACTCCATCGAACTGAGAACCATTCATGGATAGTGAGTAGAATTATTTCAGAACACAACCATGCACTTTCAGTGACATGTGGGGAGAAGAAACAGTGGGGATCTCATGGATATATAGACCCAATGACTAAGGAATTCGTAAAGAGATTGAGGAGAAACAATGTTGCATTAGGATGTGTATGCAGCATAATTGGTGTGCTGCCTGCAGAAAGTGTAGTGCCAATCAGAAACCAATCGGTAAAGAACCTCTGTGCAAGAATGGCGCAAGAAGATATACAGGACGATATGAAGAAAACTATGAAGCTCCTGGGAAACATGAAGGAAGAGGACCCTGATTTGGAAGTCAGATTCAAGATGGATGATGAAGGGGAGGATTGAGTCGATGATAGGGTGCACTGGGAAAAATCAAAGGGATTACAAGCACTTTGGGGATGTGGTTACTTTTGACACTACATACAGAACAAACTTGTACAACCTGCCGTTTGGAATATTTGTTGGAGTTAACAACCACTACCAAACGATAATATTCGGCAGCGTGCTGCTAAATCATGAAAGAACAGAAGACTTCGAGTGGACCTTCAGAAACTTCACTGAAATTATGGGCGGAAAACAGCCTCAAACTATACTGACAGGTCAGTTTGTGGATGCACGTATATGAGTGTTCGGTTTTTTTTATCATAAGATTCTATGGTAGTCGTAGTTATTCTCATGTGACATGCCAATGCAATAAAATCTGCTTACATACGTGTACCAAATTTAGTAATAACTGCATTACAATTATGACAAACTAACAGATTTTGTTCACTAAGTAATCGTGCTTGTAACCCAGATCAATGCCAGGGGATGGCGGCTGCAATAAAGACAACGCTGAAGGGAACACGGCACCGGTGGTGCAGATGGCATGGGCTTAGAAAGGCTAAGCAGAAAATAGGAATACCATACTCAAAGAAGAGTGCATTCAAGAAAAAGTTCAACAGACTTATAACCGATGAGATATCGCCAAGTGCATTTGAGAAGAAATGGCGGGAACTAGTAAAGGAATACAAGCTCGAGGGAAACAATTTCATGAATCGTGCATACAAGATGAGAGGTTTGTGGGCAAAACCGTACTTCATGGACATATTCTGTGCAGGTATGACTAGCACTCAACGGAGCGAGAGTGCGAACCACATGCTGAAGAGGTTCATTCAACGATCAGCACCAATGCATATATTCATATCAAAGTTCAGGGATTTCCAGTTCGACCGTAACCAAGAGGAAGAAAGGGAGATCCACTTAACTAAACAGGTAATGCCAGGTTGGCATGGGTAAGATCCAAGAATCACCTCTGCTGATATGATTTGATTGTGTAATTGCACATGAAATTAGTAGTACTGCAAACTATGAACTATTATTGTGAAAAATAATACAGGCTATATATTACAATTACTAGGCGGTGAATACTATTCCAATGATAGACTTTACAGGGGTTGTTATATACCAATAAGATTTATGTGAAACGTTGGAGTAATACAAACTGTTGCGTTGTCTTGCGTGTGCTGCGATTACATATCTAGGATGAATTCAGAAGACATTAACAAGGCACGCGTACTTGTTCAATGCAGATGTCTAGAAGAAGGAGAGTGGGTGTACCAATTGAAAGACGTGCAGAAGCTATTTACACAAGAGAAATGCATGAAAGATTCTACAATGAGGCTGTGTTTAGTTCGCGAATTTGGAAATTTGGCTACTGTAACAATTTCGTTTTTATTTGGCAATTAGTGTTCAATCATGTACTAATTAGGCTCAAAACGTTCGTCTCGCAATTTCCAACCAAACTGTGCAATTAGTTTTTTTTCCGTCTACATTTAATGTTCTATGCACGTATCGCAAGATTCGATGTGATGGCTACTGCAGCACTTTTTGGAAAACTTTTTGGGAACTAAACAAGCCCTGAGCTATATGAATCAGGTGCTTACACAATAGTGGATAAGTCAGTGAATGGTCAGAGATTTACAGTGGTACACACGAATGAACTCGGTGCTGAAGAAGCTAGGCAGTACAATGTCATTTTGACAGGAATTGAGAATATCAAGTGCAGCTGCGGCCTCTATGAGCATGCTGGACTACCATGCAGCCACAGCTTAAAAGGTAAGGTGTGCAAGTCACTGATATTATGCTATGTACATTCCTCCTGGTGATTTGCAGTACTGTAAGGGATGTTGGCCTACGGAATCACCGTCTGACGATAATGAACTAGTCTTCAGACCACTAGTTTCTGACCACTAGTCTTTCAGACCACTAGTCTCCCAGACCAGACCACTAGTCTCCAGACCACTAGTCTCCCAGACCACTATACCGGTTGTGTTCGTATCCACGCACTATGGATCGAGCTAGAAGAAGAAGGGAGAACAGAGCAAGCACGCACAATACAAGACAACAACGTTGGCCGAGGCCCTGTCTGTGTGACTGAGCTCTCTTTACTGAGTTGCCTTGGTGCCCTATTTATACAACTCTATCTATCTAACTAAAGTACAACGCACATGCTGTAACAGTAACTAGATAAGCATACAGGGCTGACTCTGCGCCGGCCTCTGCATGTGCCTACAGTGCTGCAGGTGAGCCGTGCGGCGCCTGCACCTGCAGCGGCTACAGTATTACAGCAGGAGGCAAAGTCGGCGCCGCCTTCCTCTGCTGTGTTTCACACAAGGTGGCAGTAGATTAGCTAACAATCTTCCCCTAATCCTACTGCTAACCCTTGCATCCCCTCCATGCCGATCATCTCCTTCAGCTCCGTGAGTCGAAGTCGTCCGAGCGGCTTGGTGAGGACGTCCGCGAGTTGTCGACCAGTTTCGACAAACTCGATGACGATCTGCCCTCCATCAACACAGTCCCTGAGGAAGTGGAACTTCACGTCGATGTGTTTACTCCGGTCGTGCAGAACCGGATTCTTCGCGAGGGCGATGGCGGGCTGGTTGTCCACCATCAGTGCTGGTGGGTGAGCTTCCACGCCGGTTAGCTCGCCCAGTAGCCGACGTAGCTACACAACTTGGCACGCCGCTGTGGCCGCCGCTACGTACTCTGCCTCACACGTAGATAGCGCCACCACCTTCTGTTTCAGCGACAACCATGAAATTGGGGCCGACCCAAGGAAGACGAGTACGCCAGAGGTGCTCCGTCGTCCGTCGATGTCCCCCGCCATGTCTACATCGCTGAACACCATGAGCTGCAGCCTACTTCCCCCGGTCTTTGGGAAGATGATTCCATGATTCACCGTCCCCTTGACGTAGCGTAGTAGCCGATTCACCGTAGCCCAGTGATCCTCTCTGGGATCCTCCATGAAGCGACTGACGTAGCCCACGGCGAATGCAATGTCCGGCCTTGTGTGGACTAGGTAGCACAGACCACCGCCGATGCTCCGGTAGAGTGTTGCATCTACTTTCGCCGCGGTGCTGTCCTTCGTCAGTTTCAGCCGCTCCTCCATCGGAGTCACGCATGGCTTGCACTCCACCATGCCGCTCCTCTCCAACAGCTTGGAGGCATACGCGCTTTGCCCGAGCGTGAGTTCCTCCTTCCCCTGTCTCACCTCGATACCGAGGTAGTAGGAGAGAGCGCCGAGATCGCTCATTCGGAAACGAGCTACCATCTCTCGCTTGAAGCTGTTGATATCCTTCGTGCGCGCGCCGGTGATGATTAAGTCATCCACATACACGCCGATCACGAGTTCTTCCTTCCCCCGTCGTCGCGTGTAGAGCGCGTGCTCGGTTGCGCACCTCTGAAACCCAAGCTCGCCCAGCGTGGTGTCAAGCTTGGTGTTCTATGCTCGAGGGGCTTTGCCGCAGCCCGTAGAGCGCTTTGCGCAGTCGGAGCACCCTGTGCTCCTCTCCCTTGATAGCGAACCTTGGAGGTTGCCTGACGAAGACCGTTTCCGCCAGCTCGCCGTTGAGGAAGGCCGATTTAACGTCCAAATGATGGACGCGCCAGTCCTTTGCTGCCACCAAAGCAAGTAGCAAACAGACCGACTCCATGCGCGCTACTAGTGCAAAGACCTCCTCGAAGTCGATGCCCTCACGCTGGACAAAGCCTCGGGCGACGAGGCGTGCCTTGTACTTGACAATGGCGCCGAGCTCGTCCCTTTTGACTTTGTACACCCACTTCATGCTGATCGGACGGCATCCTGGGGGTGGATCGACGAGCTGCCAAGTCTCGTTTTCCTCGATCGCCTTCATCTCCTCCAGCATTGCCCGTCGCCAGTTTCCATCACGCTCGGCTAGCGCGAACGCGGGTGGTTCCTCTGCACTGACGAGTAGCAGCTCTGCGTCGTTGAGCAGCCTACCCGCCAGACCTGAGGGACCTGTGCCGCCGACGATGTCGTCCAGCCTGCGAAACCTCAACTCCTCACCTTCGTGGTAGGCGTCCACGAACTCATTGATGTCACTTGGAGGTGAGGCGAACTCGATTGGGGGTGATGGAGTTCCTTCTTCCGCCGGAGTGCCCTGCATAGCACCTGAAGTGCTCGGCACTGCTTCTGGACTGCTCGTCATAACTCCTGCAGTGTTCGGCCACACTGTAGGAGTGCCCAGCCTCAGTCTTGGAGTGGTCGGAACCACAGTAAGACGTCTTGGCTCCGCCACGGGAGTGCTCGGCACCCGTTCTGAAGTGGTCGCCACCACTGCAGAACCTCCTGGCTCCACTCCTGGCGTGCTCGGCATCCCTCTAGAAGTGCTCGACACTCCTCCCAGAGTGCTCGGCATCCCTCCTGAAGTGCTCGGCACTGCCCTAGAAGTGCTCGACTCTACCGCTGAAGTGCTCGGCGCTCCTCCCGGAGTGCGTGGCACCTGTTCCGCAGCGTCTCCACCGTCGTGGATGACCAAGTGCTCGACGATGAAGGTGTTGGTGAAGCCTCCCGCTTCCCCCGTGCTCGGACTGTGCCAGTACCAAGCTGCCTCCTCGTTGAACATAATGTCGCACGAGACAGTCACCTTGTCTCCGCGTGGGTCATAGAGCCGGTATGCCTTGGTACCCTCCGCGTAGCCCAGGAACACCATGGGTGTGCTCCTGTCCTCCAGCTTGGTGAGGTTCGGCTTTGTCTTCCTGACGTGGCCGATGCAACCGAATGTCCAAAGGAATGACACGTTCGGCTTGCTCCCATACCAAGCTTCGAATGGCGTCTTGCCCGTTAGGGCTTTGGTTGGAGCGCGGTTGAGGATGAACACCGCCGTGGTCACCGCCTCTCCCCAGAACTTTGCCGGCATCCCTTTGGCCTTCATCATGGATCGGGCCATGCTGACCACTGTCTGGTTCCGTCGCTTCACCACGCCATTCTGTTGTGGCGAGTACGGCGCGGCGTGATGTTGCCCCACACCTTGATCCGCGCAGTACGTAGCAAACTCCACCAAAGTGAATTCGCCACCCCGATCAGTCCTCAGTACATGGAGCTTCTTGCCGCTCTCGGCCTCCACGCGCGTCTTGAACTTCTTGATCGCCACCGCCGCTTCGTCCTTGCTCGTCAGGAGTTGTAGCCACATGTAGCGACTGTAATCGTCCACGAGTAGGAGGAAGTACCGCCGACCACCGCATGTAGCAGGCGTGATCGGCCTGCAGAGGTCGCCGTGAACTAGCTTGAGAGCTTCCTTCGCGCGATACTTGGTCGCCTTTGGGAAAGGTAGCCTCCTCTGCTTCCCGGCCAGGCAGCTGTCACACAGCTCGCCTCCGTGTTTGATGTGGGGTAGCCCTCGGACCATCTTCCCCAGCCGACCAAGCGCGTCGAAGCTGAGATGTCCGAGCCGGGCATGCCACATCCATGGTTCCTCGGAGTGCCTTGCCGCCAGGCAAACCGGCTGCTCTACCTTCAGGTTGAGCAGGTACAACCGGTTTAGGGATCTCTTCACCTTGGCGAGAAGTCGCTGCTCCCGGTCTCTGATCCTCAGAACGTCGTCCTTGATCAGAACCTCGCTACCGCGCTCATCCAGCTGACCAATGCCGATGATGCTGAACGCAATTGCGGGATGTAGTATACATCCGTTAGCGCCGCGTGCTCTCCCGCTCGCATCTCAAGATGATGGTGCCGCGCCCTTGGATAGCCACCCTGAGCCATCACTAAACTTCACCGTACTTCGGTAACATCACCGTCGAGCTCGGAGAAGGAGTCCTTGGAGCCCGTCATGTGGTTACTGGCACCAGAGTCCAGATACCACCGCTGCTCCTGGTCGACGCCCACATGCCCAAGATGGACTTGGGCGCGTGGTTCGTCGAGGTTGATGGTCTTCGTGGCCTTGCTAGATCCTTCCACCGTCGTCGCGCTCTTCCCTCTCCATGGCCTCGGCGTGCGTGCGGGTACGTAACGTCACCATAGGATAGTGGCCTCATCCTCATCATCGGCTTTAGCGCCAGTGAGCTCGAGCCTTCTTTTCCTTCTTGTGATTTGGGCACCCCGTGCTCCAATGGCCCATCTTCCCGCAACACCGACAGCGCGTTGAGTCAATTTGCTTCTTCTCCGAAGAAGCCCCGCCGCTGATGTTTGCCGCTGCCACCGCGATCGGAGGAGGCCGCCTTCCCGGAGTTTCGCAGAGCAGCAGCCTCCTCTTCCGCTGCCAGGAGTTTCCAGCGTCCTTCGTTGTTGCCGCCGCTCCAAGCGCCGTCCACCGCCGCCCAGCAGACGGCTTGCCACATCCTCGATGGTGAGGGTGGATAAGTCCAGCATCGTCTCTATGGAGAGAGCGATCCGGTTGTACTTTTGCCGCAAGACGGAGTGGAGGAATTTAGAGACCGCCTCCTCTTCGTCGATGGTGACGCCAGGTGGCTCTTCACTTTCGATGAGCGTCTCGCAGCGGAGGGAAAAGTCCTCCACCGTTTCACCATCCTTGAACTTGAGGTTTGCATACTCCGCTTGAAAGCTGGGCCGCTGCCTTCTTTGCGCGGGTCGGAACCGACGCGCGATCGCCGCAATGGCCTCCCACGCGTCCTTAGCTGAGCTATTCGTCCCCAACGGTTCTCTGTACTCCGCCGGTACAGCAGCGAGGATAGCCTCCAACGCTGACATGTCATCTTCTTTCACGTCGGTGCCATTGTCAACAGCATTCCAGAGCCGTCGGACTCTGAGCTTGACCTTCATGGTCACCGACCACTCTCCATAGTTAGTGCGAGTCAGCGTCGGCCAAGTGGTGCCGCTGACCTCCCGCACCGTGTGGACAACTACCTCCGGTAGTGGCTGGGCAGCTATGACAGTGCCACTACCATCGTCCAACTCCAAACCGCCTGTCCTCGCCATCGGTTAGAATGACGACGGCGCTTGTACGGCTCCGATACCACTTGTTGGCCCACGGGATCACTGTCTGACGATAGTGAACTAGTCTCCAGACCACTAGTCTCAGACCACTAGTCTCCCAGACCACTAGTCTCCCAGACCAGACCATTAGTCTCCAGACCAGACCACTAGTCTTCAGACCACTAGTCTCCCAGACCACTATACCGGTTGTGTCCGTACCCACACACTATAGATCGAGCTAGAAGAAGAAGGGAGAACAGAGCAAGCACGCACAATACAAGACAACAACGTTGGCCGAGGCCCTGTCTGTGTGATGATAAATCTGAGCTCTCTTTACTGAGTTGCCTTGGTGCCCTATTTATACAACTCTATCTATCTAACTAAAGTACAACGCACATGCTGTAACAGTAACTAGATAAGCATATAGGGCTGACTCTGCGCCGGCCTCTGCATGTGCCTACAGTGCTGCAGGTGAGCCGTGCGGCGCCTGCACCTGCAGCGGCTACAGTATTACAGCAGGGGGTAAAGTCGGCACCGCCTTCCTCTACTGTGTTTCACACAAGGTGACAGTAGATTAACTGACAAGTGAGTCATGAACAATAAGCGAAAACATAGAAGTAGCTCTGTTTTGTTTGATGAGTTATTTCTGTGTAGGAGCTGGTGCATTTAGACAGGACAGTCGGGACAGAGATACCAAAGGGAAGTATACATCAGAGGTGGACTAAAGAAGCAGGTCCAGATATCAATGCTGGGTCGGGATGTTCAGTAATGGAACAAATAACAGCACAGAGTGATGAACTGAAGAGGCGAGTCCTTGTAATGAAAGCACTGGAGCTGTCACGAACTAAAGGGCCGATCAATGACGAAGCATATAGCGATGCTCTGCGTGCAATGGAGAGCATCGTACCAGTCAGGCAAGCTTCCATTGAAACGATCAATTCAGCTGCTAATGATGAGACATCTAATGTTTGTGCCCCGTCTCATGAGTTGACAATTGCATGCCCTCCGAGGGCAAAAAGAGCAGGCAGGCCTAGAGACACGTCGCTGAAATCTTGGAACACACACTACAATCTAGAAAAGGAAAACAGAAGGAATGAAGACGAAAATATCGCAAAACAAGATACAAGCGCAGAGGAGAAGAGGCCATCAAAAACGAGAAGGTTGACTGATTTAATGCAGGTTACATAGTTGATGGTGACTTTGCCTATTTAGAGCAGCATGTGGCGGGGAAGTGCAACCTAGGGTTGAGAGTCATTGGAAATAACCGATTCTGCTATGTCTTTCTAGTTGTTGCATAATTCAAATTTATGTGGATCTATGGTAGTCGCTGAATTAGAAGGTTTCTGACGAAACTCCTATGCGGCTAGTTTGTATTGTGCAATTGTAGGAGTCTGACAAGAAAAAACCTAGGTTTAGTCAACGATGAAGTATGGCGTGAGATTATAATAGTCCTTAGGAATTGCATCTTTGTGGACATATCAAAGAACTGCAAAGGCATATGCTGAATGAACCAACAGATCCCACAGGTTCCTGGTATGGCAAATGTACCAATGTTGCCTGGGTTTGTTGATTAAATTTCAAGCAGAAGAAATGGGCACAGGACAAATGATATAATACAGTACTGGGGTGGAAAGGAGATTGAAGCATGCACCCAAGCATGCATTTGTACCAGCAAAGCATTTGAACTTGTGAAAAGAGGGGAAAAAAAAGAGAGCAGAAACCAAAAAAGCAATAAACAATTGTAATTAAACCGACATACTGGACCACAGAGAAATAGACAGTGCTACATGATTATAACCATGACTAGTTAACGCCATGAACATAGCTGCAAGTGCGGAATTAGAAGGACCATTACATTGAGAGTTCTGCGAGACCTGAACTAGGATATGAGCTGACACATAGATAACCAACTTGAGATAGAACACGAGCCAAAACACCGTGCCAGATCATAGACTTGCTGAGTGGAGTGGTCCAGACGATTCAGCGTTTCTTCTTCTTCGATGCCTCGTTCTTGACATACTTCGGCATGAGCCTCACGCAGACAATGCTATTATAGAGCCGATTCAGATTCTTCTTCATATTCTGCTTCGACTTCTCTGGATCATCATCAATGTCCCTGCATATTTTCTTTTCTGCGATGTCGAACTTCTCCCGGAGTTCAACCATCATCTGCTGCTCCTCCTCTTCAAGTGATTCGTACCCATCATAACGATGCTCGCCTTCAGACATGGCATCATCTACACTGTTGACATCAGAGTCATCATAGTACTCACCTTAAGGGAACATACAAAGAATAGTGCAGTTAGTTCATGAGTACTAATAACACATGATGATGGTAAATAATAAATATATGACCAACTTTAATATGACGTGCTCTGAATAATTAGAGGTCTGCCGTGCAATAAACATAACTATTGCAGAAATTGATTCCATGTTTCGGCATTCATATGCATCCGATGTGTGCAAAGTAGTTTACTAGGAAGCAATTCCATGCGCAATTCGTAAGCGTAGCTGTCGATGTACTTCACAGAAGCCTAAAGAAACAATTTAGCGAGTAAACCTGGAAACCGAATGGAAGGCACGGTACTTGAATTCTAAAGATTAACATACAAGCAAACTTAGAAGTTGCTAACTGGAAATCTGAAACTAATGGACACAGATAAGGGGCATGATTTAGAAAACAGTAAGCGAGATGAGGGTCTCACTAGCGATTACCTGCTTCTTGTTGCTGTTGTTGCTTGTACCGCCTCTGGAGCTAGATTGGGAGGGCTTCGTGCTCAACCCGGCGCCCCGAGACATGCTGCGAGTTTGACGGACAAGAGATTTCAGGTTGGGCTTGACATCCTCCTCAACTTGTTCGACTACCACGGGCGTCCGGCGGGACTTAGTAGATCCAACAGCAGAGGCAGAGACCCGAGCTGAACCACCCCTTTCGGTGGACGCGAACTGTCCCCTCGCATTCCGCGGTTGGGTGGCGGAGCTGTGCACACGCTTGGGAGTAGCCATACACCCACCGCCATCCTCCGGCTCAGCGCCTGCAGCCTTCTCCTATCCTCACCGCCGGCAGCAGCGCAGATTGTGATGGATAGGTTTCATCACAGGCAGAAGCATTCAGATCAAACCCTCTACATGGCTTCAGTTTCCTAAGAAGTGAGTAGAACTGAGACATCGCCGTGGCAACACGAAGATTAACATTTAGATAATGTGGCATATCGTCGAGACTTGATAGAACTGAGTTGAACGACCTTTGCACGTGATCACCGGTAGTTGTATAGTCAAGCGTTGAGCAACTTTGACTCGATGACGAAGCTTCAGAATAGTTGGAACAGCTAGCCCTCTGACATGGAGCAGCATCCTGTGTATTCTTCGAGCATTGTCCAGCGGCCATGGTACATAACTTTTTCCTCTTGTTTCTTAATGGAAAAGACATGAGCCTTATCCCATTTGTTATTGCAGAATCAAGCACCTCAAAACCTGCTTGCCATAATAATAGATAAGATTGCAATTGGAGATGACAGATTAACATATTCACTGTGGGTGAGAATTAAAGGTGTAACATCTACATAGATTAAAAAATCTAACATAGATTAAAAAAATCTAACAGTGAAGCATCAGCAGAAATTGATAAGTGTGGCATGTGCCATTCAGGTGGTTGAATAAATCGATGACTTTTTCCTCTTGTTTCTTAATGGAAAAGGCATGAGCCTTATCCCGTTTGTTATTGCAGAATCAAGCACATCATAACCTGCTTGACATATTCATTGGTAAGGTTGCAATAGCAGATGATAGACTAACATTTTCGGTCTCGGTTACCATCATAGGTGTAACATCAACAGAGATTAAAAAAATCTAACAGGGTAGCATCAGCAGGCATTGAAAAGTGTGGCATGTGTCATTGAGGTAGCTGAATAAATCGATATTGTGAAGAAATACTCATGATAGATATAACACGTACAGGCCAAGAAAATTGAAACATTGAATCCACTAAATTAAGTTAACAACGTTTATCTTCAAGATCATTGAAAGCTTAACAATAAAGGAATGTAAATAAGCGGGTTAAAAAAAGGAATTAATAAAAGGAAAAAGGGCGCTGAAGAATATATTGATGCAGGTGGTACAGTTTCAAATTACAGTGGTTCTACTACTTATCAACCATGTTAACGAACGACCTCGACGACGAGGCCGAGGGGGAGACAGCGGCCCCACCTCGTATGCGGGTGGAGCAGCTGAAAGCCCGACACCAAGAGCTCGAGGAAGCGCGACTCCAGCTCGAGCAAGAACGCGCGGAGCTCTATCGGGAGATCGAGCGCCACGGAGACGGTGGGCGCGCACGCGCCATGGCCTGCGATGTGAACCGGAGGATCATTGCGGACGATGAAGCCCTCCCTCACTTCGCCCGGGCGAGCCAGAACATCGCCGCTGCGGCGGCCTTGCTCCATGGTCTTTCAGAGGCCGCGACTCCCAAGGATCGTTGGGCCCACCGCGAGATTCGCACGTTGCTCGAGCGTGCGACGGCGCAGTAGGCCGAGAGCTCGTTGTCTCGGCGACACGAGCTCGACGCCAGCCAGTGCACGCCCTCAGAGCGTCCCGGCAGGGACGCGTTAGTCCATCAAGCTCCACAAGGCGGTAGGCAGCGCACCGCGGTCCCGGTGCATCAGCGTCTCAGCCGCAACCGTGACATACGCGACACCCTCGACGCCCGCAGGCGTACCTACGATGACTCGAGAGAGGGAGCTAGCCGCGGCTATCACCCTCATCGTGGCGGATGCTACGACAGCGGCGAGGACCGAAGCCCGAGGCCCGGCCTGCCGGGGCCTCAGGCCTTCGGCCGACACATCCTCAATGCTACCTTCCCGCCAAGGTACCGACCACCAACCAACATCCCGAAGTACTCTAGGGAAACGAACCCTGGACTATGGCTCAAGGATTATCGACTTGCCTGCCAAGCCGGTGGTGCGAATAATGACGATTTCATTATCCGCAACCTTCCATTGTTCTTGGCCGATTCGGCACGAACATGGTTGGAACACCTTCCGTCCAACAGAATCCAAAGTTGGGTGGACCTGAAGGAGATCTTCATGGGAAACTTTTAGGGCACATACAAGCGCCCTGGGAACCCATGAGACCTCAAGAACTGCCGACAGAAGGCCGAAGAAACCCTCCGCGGGTACATCCGGCGCTTTTCCCGGCAATGCAACGAGCTACCTAACGTCGCCGATGTCAACGTTATAGGAGCTTTCCTCTCTAGGACCACCTGCGAGTCCTTGGTTCATAAGCTAGGATGCAAGGGCCCGCGAACCACCAAGGAACTCCTCAACATCGCCACTAGCCATGCCTCGGGCAAAGAAGCAGTCGGAGCGATCTTCAACTGCCTCAAGGGCAAGGCGAGGCGGGACGAGGACGCCAACGAAGGAGCCTCCAATCGTCCCGCCAAGAAGAAGAACAAGCAGCAGCGTGAGGGCTCGCTCGTGGCTGCCGCTGACCGCAGGGGTGGTCGGAAGCCCACGGAGGGCACTCCGAACCACTTCGAAAAACTACTCAAGGGGCCATGCCCGAACCATGCCTTCCCTGTCAAGCATCTGTACAAGGACTATGGCCTCATGAAGCGGTTCTTGTCTGGAGGCTCCAACAAAGGGGAGCACGGGAAGGACCCCGACCCAACCATGGACGACGCCAAGGGGAAGGACGGCGGCTTTCCGACACCGGATGGCTGCCTCATGATCTTCGGAGGGTCAGCGGCCTATGACTCCAAGCGTCGTCAGAAGGTCGTGCACCGCGAGGTCTATACGACCGAACCGACCACGCCTACCTTCCTCTGGTGGTCAGAGTCCGCCATAACCTTCAAACGGACCAATCACCCGGAAAGCGTCCCACAACCGGGGAGGTACCCACTCGTGGTCAACCCGATCGTCAGTACGAAGCGACTCACCAAGGTACTGATGGATGGAGGCAGCGGCCTCAACATCATGTACGCCGAGACGCTTGACGCTATGGGCGTCAACCAAGCGCTCATCCGGCCAACCGAAGCGCCTTTCTATGGCATCATGCCTAGAAAGCAGGCCATTCTACTTGGGCAGATTGATCTGCCCATCACCTTCGGGGGTCCATCCAACTATAGGATGGAGACCCTCACCTTCGAAGTGGTTGGGTTCCATGGAACTTACCACACCATCCTGGGACGACCATGC